GATGAAACTTTTGCAATCCAACTGCTAAGTTCATCAGACAGACCAACAACCAAGTTTTCCTTGTCACTAGCATGCCAAAGAACTGTTTGTATGTCATAAATCACCAATTAGCTCAACTTTCGTTAATCATCTCTTTAAAAGGCTCCATCCATTTCTTACTTACTATCAAATTCATTGAAACATGTTGCGAAAGCTCAGTTCCTTCAACTTGACTTGATTTAAACCGTCCTCCAAAGTACTACTTACGAGTGGTATGTGACACCTAAGGGGTAAACTACTCTATCACCCTTCCTCCGGATTCTGTCCGAAATTCCCGCTCTTTTCAATGTTCCAATTAAAATGGTCTCCATTCTCTTCAGTTTTCCACATTTGTAATTTAACTGTGAAGCAACGCTAGTTGGGACAAATGAGTACTATTTACAGATAGTCTGTTTCCTCGATTAAAAGCTCCATTTTCGTCTGTTCCATCTCACCAGGAATCCCCAAGAATCTCCACGCCGTTGGTCTTCAACAGTTGGCACAACCGCGTCATCATCATGTTGTACATCCCAGGGCTGATTGCTATCATCATATTCTATCTGCTCATTCTCCTCGTGGGGTTTTGGGCAGCCAGAAAATCCAGGTCCAATCCAGCCGGGACCACGGAGACGGAGGACGTGATGCTTGCTGGGAGAAATATCGGACTGATAGTAGGCATATTCACCATGACTGGTGCGTAGATCATCTTTTCCAATTTATGTGGTCTAGACTAAAAGGGTTTGAATGGCAGTTCGATATATTTTGTTCTCGTACCACGAACACTACGTTGGGGTCAAACAATACTGAGTGCTTGTGTGTAGAAAATCGTACCGAATAAAAAAACTCGAGTGAGTTACAATGCTAGCTGTGGCAAACGCTTGATCAACTCGAATGCTTCACTCTTAAGGTTACATCATTACGAGCGGCATCCACTATCACGTTGGTGACATCTTTACTGACACTTTGAAGTCCGCCGAAATTCCAACCGTCTCATTGAACTCGTTACTTAAGTCAGTGCTGAGAGGTTGGTAGGTTTTAGCGAAGCTTAGGAAGTTTGATTTCCACCGTGCCTACTTCCGTTCATTCACTAGTTTATTATTAATCCATCAATGACCGACTGGCAGATATGGTTTTCCCGGTGTGACTTGCTGTTCCGTTTACTAGTACATACCAGAAATACTAATTGAGGCAACGTATAGTTGAGTATTCGATACTCAGCCATATGGCCTGGTGCAACGGATCGAAAGTTGCGGCCCTTGACCCCTGATTCCGATTGGTGGATATCGCGGCCAATCAGGATACAACCGGGATCGGCGGGTCGCTTTTTCATCGTCCAAGGTGCAGTCGACGTGCAGACCTCACCATTCCAAGGTGTCAGTGTCCATAAAATTTCTACACCTAATTGCACCAATTTCTCATTAGGAAATACCCTGTTCGATTCACAAGAAATGCTACCGACTTTGACGTAGGGCCATGAGAATTCGCAATTCAAACTGCTGTGAGCGCCAAGCAACCTATTCGGATAAGGCTCTTAAAACTGTAATCATCTACACTAAGGCTGAAAAATACCGGGGGGAATGTTTTCACTAACAATTTAGAGTAGCGGATTTGCTAACTTTGGCTTTCTTGCCACGTAAGATTTATTTATTTACATGTGTGTAAAAAACTGAACACGGTGAACAACAACCTCTGTGTTTGTTTTCCATGTTGATCGAATTCGATAATGGGTTCCCTTTTATTTCTCTTTTCCCGATTTATTCACAGCTACTTGGGTTGGTGGTGGTTATATCAATGGCACCGCAGAGAACACCTTTCGTCCCGGTCAAGGCTTGGTTTGGTGTCAAGCACCGATTGGCTACGCAGCAAGTCTAGTTCTTGGTGAGTGGTAATTCGAGTAGATTGATTGCTCTTTGGAAATTCGCGTCCAAGAAGGAACCTACTTGTACTGCTCCACTCTAGCAAAAGGTCAGAGTACATATATATATATATATCGATAGGTGCTTACTCTTAAAATAATTGAGTTGGTGTTTACAGTAGTAGTCCCTTAAAAAGACAGACTGCTTTGCTACAGGACCAGAGATAAATTCCTTGTCACCTGTGAGTTGGATCTGCCATCCCTCTAATATAGGCCATCTCCAGTGGGCGAGGAAACTTTTTTCCGGCAAAGCGGTCTCTGTTGAGCTATTAGTGTACCAAGGCCCTAAAAATGGTGAGTATTTGCACACATACCCTGGTAACCATGTTGATTGTCCTGTGGTTCGAGGCAGACATTTTGTTCTGAAATACCGGTTGCTATTTGAAAACATAAGCTTGTTACACACTGTTATTGTTGTTGTTCGCCTAAGGACTAATGACAAGGACACTCAAATATACCAAAAGAACCTTCCGGTAGATTTAACTGTACACTCTCCTTACATTTCACACTCCTTCAGACGTAGTAACGGATCTTTTCCGGAAAAGCCCCGCCACTCGTTGCCAGCCCCAATTTAATGTACGCACACAACCTTGATCTATTTTTGATGAAAACAATTCCTTATCCGCATCTAGGCTCATTTTGTCCGAAATTTTCTCTGTTCGGACGTAAAATGAACTTTCTGACGCCTTCAACTCTCGTTTATGACATGGAGACGGCAATACGCTTTTTTCAAAGCCACGTTTATGCAACAAGGTCACCAAATGACACTTTCAAATGTTTCTGACAGTGTCGGCAAGAAATCGGTCTTCGAAAGGGAACTTGGCTGGAGCGGTTTAAGATGGAGTTTGGGACAGTAATCCTATTCATTTATTGCTAGTCCAAAAAATTTGGCTAACATCAAATTTCTGTCAGAGGAATTATCTATTAGCTACATGACCGCTGTTGACTGGAAGCATTTTCTTCGCGAAGTTTGCGCCTAGCGGCTTTTGCAGACACCAACAGTTATTGGTGGCCCAGGTAAAAACGTCGAGATTGATGAAACGCTAATATCTCTCCGTAAAAATCACGCAGGGCGAGTCCTTCCTCAGCAGTGGATTTTCGGAGGGATCTGCCGTGAAAAACTTAAGAGCTATTCATGTATGCAGTGCCAGATCGAACTGCGGCCACTTTGATGGACACAATCCAGGCCTGCATCGCTCCAGGCTCAATAATCATCTCCGGTATGTGGAAATCATACCAAGGAATTGAAACGATAATTGACTCACAAACCATCGAATCTCCTTGGCACGTCTACAAGATTCAGAATAAACGCCGATGCGGCACACACCGATCTGTAGTGGACAGCTACTTGTTTGAGTTCGTTTGGAGGCAAAGGTACCGAAAAACGGACCCTTTCATACAAATTATTAAATGGTATGTCCCAATTTCACTCTCGTGAATAAAAACTAAAAGCACAAATTTTATATCCTCTTTCTTTTAATATTTTCTGGGTAGCGGGGGTTAATTTTTTGGCGGGGCTTATCTGGAAAAGACCTGTAGTAACTAAGGGGGTTCTGTTTTTGATGTTCAACTTTGCAACTCTCACGCTCCGGACATTTTCGCCTGTTATTTTGAGACAAAACAAGAACTCCCAGGAAGTCCTGGCTATGGAGTAGATAAGGTTCAAAACTTTAAAACGGGCTACGGGCCCTCTTAACAGGGACGAAAAGTTATACTTTTCACGTAAGATCAACAGCTTACGACAAACGGTTTTCCAATTCAGCGCGTTGGAAAATATACAAAAATAATAAAAAAATTCACTATGTTCACTTAAGAACGGTTTCAGAAAACATAAAAGTTGAAATCACAGTACGCTGAAAGTAAACTAATAAGGAGGAAAGTCACATGATGGATATTGAATACCTACCCACGCAACAAGAAATACATGTTTGTTTCCCCTGGACTTTTATAACCTTGCAAAGTAAATTCTCCCCAACAAGCTCAGACGAATCAACGCCCCACCAGTAGAGCACGACCTTTTTAGTGCCACTGGAGGCCTAGTGGAGAAGTCTCCTAGTCGGGAGAGTAAAACGAATCTGTTGTATCGTCCACTTATGTTTCACCACCAGCTTCAGACTCATTTTCATCGAAGAAAGAGGAGGGCAACGCAGTTAAGAAGTCACTAAGTCAAGTTATTTGAAATGTACTATTACCATCCAGGAAACCTTGAGCCAATTCCCCATTATCTATCGGCAAGATGCCATCTCTATTAAGTCTTTTGAAGGCTTAAGTACACTGAGTTGTCGTTGGTCACTTGTTTTTCCCCACAGGTGGCTTCTTTTTCGCCAAACGAATGAGGTCACTAGCCTTCGTGACCATGTTGGATCCGTTTCAGAACAAGTACGGTGAAAGAATGTGTGGGCTGCTGTTTATACCTGCCCTGCTGGGCGAAACGTTCTGGTCGGCTGCGATTTTGTCAGCTTTGGGTGAGTCCAGATTGATATCGTTGATTTAGAATTCATTTGAGCGTTCGTCGATTAGAAAACTCAGGTGCCCTGCTTCCTCAGGAGTCCAGCAATTTTAAACGAGAAGAAAAGAACACAAATACAGGGTCACGCGTGACCAACGAAGCCCTTCGTAAGGAGCTTCAAAAACGCTGTTTCTTGTGTATTTTGATTCATCAACTTAGGTGGGCGTAGGATGACGGATATTATTGATCGCTATCAGCTGTTCAGGGGGTAAATCCACAAGGCCCCTGACTAAGGTACAGCCGGCTTTTGGGAATATTTTTCTTATGCCCAAAGGTATTCCTTACTGAAACATTCTGTCGTGTGTGTGCGTATGTGATCACAGCTGTCACAATGAGATTTATGAGGCCTGTATACGTGAGATTCTCAACTGAGACTACGAAACTCGGCAAGATCTCATAAATATGTAGAAATTGTTCTCTCGTTACTAGATTGGTGAGGTCTCCTTCAGCACTGTTTTAATAATATCAGGAAGGTCAGATTCCTGGAAGTAACCACTGAATGCCCGAAATCTGCCGAGACCCTCAACTCTACCAGATGTTGACCAGGTGACAACGCCCCTTCAATATGCAGCGCGTGACAGCCCTGTACCAGAGTTAGACAGCGCGAGACAGCGTTGAATCAAGGTCATACATTGTCCCCCAAATAAAATAGCGTGAGGCTGTTTTACTTTCGAATGCATGCACTTGCACTCACGCTCTCGCACTCGCTTGTGTTCTTTATCAGTGAGTTTTTTTTCGGCACCAGGCGATATAATAGACATGTAATATCCTTTGAGAATAGCGCAAAAACCGTTTCTGTTTTGTGGAGAACACATTGCAGACCTTCATACAATGGGCATACACTAAGAGATGACTAAATGAAACCCTGATACTGAGCAAAATTTCGAACCAAGTGAGGTGGTGTAAATGCAGTACAAATCTGCTTCTAGCGGGAGCCTTCTTCAACACCCATTCTCTAATCTATAGATGCTAGTACCATCTCGACAGTATAACTTTCATCGTGTGGAGCGAATCGGTTCGCTAACTGATGTGATAATGGGTCAATCCAAGCCAACGGCTTTGCACCTTAGTTTATGTGTTTCGGGGTAATATTTGATTTAAGCGCGTTTTGTTTGCTTTCTGCAAAACAACCTTGAAATTTACATGGACTCAGTTGCTTAAAAACAGCATAAACGAGAGATTCAGCCGGGTTCCGGGTGAGCCTCCCGCAAAACCAAACTGATTTGCAAATGAGTGCAGTCCGTTAATTTCGTGCAATTTGGGTTCAAGTAGAACATAAAGTTAACGGGAATTCGGGAAGTGCGCTTACCTGGGAAGCTCCAAGAAAGGCGAGACCAGTCGTGGACTGTCGACGAATTTTCAGCAACCTTATGAGTTATGTATCATGTCTATTCATGACTGGTTCCCCTATACCGCACACTAAACCAGTCATGTCTGGGTCGGATTGCTTGTCTCAAGGTATTGATTGCTATATTCTGCCAGTCCGTTTCAACGACTCAAAATGGGTAGGAAGCGATTGCCAGCCTCTGAAAACGGGTTGACACACCATTCACTTAAGATGTGCTTTTTGCTGGAAACGCGCTATAGTATTCGAGGTGGTTTGTTGCAGGTAATCAAGATATGTATTCGTGTTTGAAATAGAAACAAAAACATGCTTATAGTACTTACTGGAATTCCTGACTAATGTGCCGGTACGACCAAACTGGGCGAACCCTTCTGCCACGGTAACCCCAAGGAGACCGCCTTATGTTTGACCTGACAAGATTCAAAGACCATTGTCTCCATTGTTTCAAGAAACCCAACTGAGGTTATTTTCTTATCGTTCTTTGGTCTTATTATCAGCGAGTTGTCTCCCAACTTCTTTTAGGGTTATTGTATGCTCTGGGTAGAAAGGAATTCAGCCTACGGACGAGTTAATCGCACTGTTGACCAACTGCTCGTGACTGACTGATTCGCTGTTCAAATACTAGTAGGGATTTTGCATGTGATGTACACTGCCGATATTTTCTAATATGAGTGAAATAGCCATACAGTGTTTGTCAGCTTTTCGGCGTATATTGACTTCAGTTGCTGGATGAGTCCATTGAAAGAGGCGCTTTTATGGATTCTCCACTTGTTCTTCTGACTGTGGACACGGTCTTTGCCAGATAGGCTTCAAAACGCCATGTGTTTTCTCCACCTCTTGGTTAATTACAGAGGTTTAACAGAACACCATTTCCATAGAGTTACTGAGAGCTTCGGCAGTCCCCACCTCGACATTGCCTCGCGTCAGTTGCGCACTACTTCATTTGAAATAAGTAGTTAGGAAGCTGGACAGCTGTGCATAAACCACAGCGCCCAAATAGAACATAATTTGCTGTGGACCATTCTCGGTATCAGAAGTGCTCTCCTTGTAACGGAGACAACTCTAATATCACTTTACTCTTGGCTTACCTTTCAGGTGCAACCCTTGGCGTGATCGTCGAGCTTGATCACACGACTTCTGTAATTATCTCCGCTTGCATTGCGTTGCTCTACACCCTCTTCGGTGGCCTATATTCTGTGGCCTACACTGATGTGGTTCAACTTTTCTGCATTTTTGCGGGCCTGGTAAGTGATAACCACACGGTGCTTGTCATGAAATATTTCGTTTATTTGCCAAACCGTCTATTTACGAAATGAAATTGCGGAGGTTAGCTGAGGAATGAAATTGAAATCTAAACGCCTCTTAAGCAATACTCATTCAGAAAAGAACAGTTTCGATTTCATCTCGACCAGTTTCACTAAAATGTAACCGACTTGCTCCAACCGGTTGATCGGTTTGGTTACCTCTGCAACTGGGGTTGTAATGAAAATGAATCGTCCGCTGGTCACCCGTGGAATCCGAACAAAGAGACCCTCTGCCGAGATAGTACAGTCCTCATCGTTGAAATTATCTTGGCGAGCTTGTTGTTACGTGCCTCGAAATCCGCTGGGCTGGGTCGAGCCATAGACTAACCGTCCTACCTAACGAGGCTAACACTGGGGTTATAAGCCTCTTGACGTACAAACCACACCAAAACAAGCTTTGAAATTTCATAAAGGAAACTACTCACAAGTGTTGCGGTTCGGTTACGCAGCGAGCAAACAATATGATATGCGGATTGTGGCAATAATCTATCCCCAGCTATGTTGCATGATCCAGACTCCTAGCACGCCGGATAGTAAGAAGACGAAAAACCTCGGACACAAACTTTAATGATCCAACAACGCGCGATCAACAGGCGATCATGTGAAAAAATGACAATGCATATATATATT